TTAATCGATCGATATAAGCGACAAAAATAAACCAAGTTCATTCATTCACCTTATGTGAATGAATAAACTTAACATCCCTAACTGATAGTTAGGTGTGTTTAGAAAAAAAAAGTTATCAACAAATCATTTGAAGTACTTTTTTTGGAAAAATAGAATTAACTTTTAAATTTGACATTGTTGCATGATTTGAGTTGATAGTTTTTGTTAGTTACGCAGTATGATCATTTTGAATGCATACACAATTAATAGTCAAAAATTATTAAAAAAAAAATACGTTTCAAGTACTGAAATAAAATAGTAATAATAATAATTTAGAGAAATAACAAAAAGTGTTATTTCAATGTGATTAATTTTTTTTTTAAGTATTAAATGAAAAGGAGGTTACGTCATTTGACAAAGTAATATCAAAATGGCACATGAAATGATAATAAGCTGAATAGAATACGATCAATACTTCTGGCGAGTGGTTTCCTGTCTAAGTTCATTGATAGTAATTTAAAAACCTAATCATTGGGCAGGAATTATTTCACACATTTGAAATCATTATTCAATCATCATTGTTAGACCACCATTAGAAACCTGGAAGCACTGGACGGCCGTTTCGTCCTAGTATGGGACTCCTCAGCAGTGCGCATCCATGACTCCTGCTCCTCGCAGGATTCGAACCCGGGAACTTTGGCATTGTAGGCGAACGCCTTACCATCGGACCACTGGGCCGGCGTCCAACGGTGTTAATGTCTAACTCTGATTGATCTAGGGATTTTGCGTTGTTCGGAAAAGGTTTTATTGTGGGACGTTGAACTGAAGGGAGATACGGCAATGGAGATACTAAGAAACAGACTAACTAGATGTTATGCTTGTCTCTAGGTATGCTTGAAACTATTACGGATTCACCGTAGTGGAACAACGAGAACAAAACAATGAACCAACGTCCAGGTAGGCTACTGTGATCCCTTGACCGAATTATACCAGCGAGAAGTCTTGATATAGCATAGAAAGTGTATTCTACAAACACCGAGTCAGCAGACAATCAATCCAAGCACTCGAATTGCGTTTATTTATACTCCATAGAGACGTCCTTGGGACAGTCACAAAAATAGCACACTAAAATGACGTAGTAACCAATCACAGCCATGGATTTTCCTGATGGGACATGTAATCTCAAGGTCAACTGATCGATCCATGAAATAAATCCAAAAATAAGATATTTATCAAGCGAGTTCTGGGGATCTAACATCTCCAACACTATATCTCTGAGGAAGACGTTTTATTCAGAATAGCTACTAACTGCTTTTCTTTCCAGCAAGAAACTTATTGAGGAGAGTGTCAAGCATAGAGTGTTGCTTTGAGCCACCTCAATGCATATCTGTCAGTTTACTTGCTTTTGTGGTGCAAGTTACGTTGGCCATACAAAGTGTGCACTTGGTAAACGTATATCCGAGCACTATCCTGCATAGCTATCTAAGTGGGTATGTAAATCAATCAGTAACCCAATACTAGAACATTTGGTTTACTTGGGTCAAATACACCGCATGACTCATCTTTTAAGATACTCCATAAGATGAGAAAAACTAGTTCAAAAAAAGTTTTGGATGAAGAATTTGTGCACAGCTGAGGTTATATCAATTCATAATTTCTTGCCCTACCTCTGTTTTCATGTTTGATCCCTTACTCTCTCTCTCTCTCATGGTCTTAACACTCCTCTGGAATTTTAAATATTCCAAGTGCTAATCATTACCTTCATCTGTTCCTCCTTTACAAAGTAGACAGTTGTCTTTAATTTTCATCCCATAGATTTTTATCACTTATTACTTTCAAAACTATTTTACCTAGCCTAAGCTATTGATACTTTTTGATTACTTTATCAAATGATGTAATCTCTTTTTAAGAGATACTTAAAAAATTAACTATATGCAAGTGACACCTTTCTAGTTCTAAATTATTATTACTATAATATTCAGCACTTGAAACCTATTGATCGTCTTGACCATATTACACAACACTATTTCATTTTTGTTATGCTCGTCTCTAGGTATGCTTAAACTATTACGAGTTCAACTTAGTCGAATAACGAGAACAAAACAATGAACTAGCGTCCAGGTAGGCTACTATGATCCGTTGATCAAACCGAATTAGAGAGAAGTCTTGATATAGTGTAGAAACTGTATTCTACAAAAACCCAGCCAGCACACAATCAATCCAAGCACTCAAATTGCGTCTATTTATACCCCATAGAGACGTCCTTGGTAGAGTCGCAAAAATAGCCCACTAAAATGACATAATAACCAATCACAGCCAAGGATTTCCCTGGTGGGACATGTGATCTCAAGGTCAACCGATCGGTCGATAAATCGGTCCAAAATAAAGATATTCATCAAGCGAGTTCTGGGGGATCCAACATCCCCAACAACTTTCATCATAGAATTATAGAGACTGTTGTTTCACACTGAAATCCTCAGATTGGTTAAAGGTGTAGACTTTACCGCCGTTGGATTCCGGCTCAGTGGTCTAGAGTTTAGATAATCGCCCACGAGACCCAAGGTCATGGGTTCGATTTCCGCCAATGGGAGTGATGGATGCTCACTGCTGAAGCGTCCCACACTATGACGAAATGGCTGTTCAGTGCTTCAAGGTCTCTATTGATGGTTTAACAATGATTAATTCACGGTTTCATTTCATTTGCATTGTTCTACCATTTGAATAATAAGTTTGACTATTGTTGATAATTTTGTAAAACTTCTCAACAAATTGTTTTACAAATTCAAATTGTTGACTAAGTTCCATCATGTGTTTTGTATTACGAACTGATCGATAACTTGAATTTCTTAAATCTGTTTAGTTTACACATTATGAAACTGTTTGCGTAATTAATATATATATTTAAATTAGACAGTTAATAATTAAGATTATCACAAATTAATCATGTGATTTGTAATTGAATTTCAAAAATTTATTTTCAATTTTATCATTTATCATTGAGTTGTGATCAACATTTTTGTATTGGTCTAGTTTTAAGTATCGATTGAATTCTGTCGATCAATAAGTTGAAATGCAGCTACTAGTCTAAGTGACTCAACGTTGAGTGGTAGGTAGGTGGTTGGAGGTAGTCAGTTGGGAAAACCTACTTGATATAGGTTTCGTGTCAACTGATACTCTTCAGAAAAGTTTCTACGGATTCTTGGGGAGAATGATGCTGTTATAGGACGTCATTCTAGAACTGGATAATTAATTGTTTAAATTTTAGACAGGGAAACTGTATAACACAAGATTGAGTTTGTCAACTAGTATTGTGGTGTGTGCTACTTATACGAACAATATAAGTAGTATAAGAAGGGGCGTGAAAGAAGAAGTCTCACGGTCAGAAGAGGAAAACGGAAAGCATATGGAGCAAAAGCAAGAAGTAAATGGAGTACCGACAGGAAGTAAAGGAAGCAACAACAGGAATGGAAGAAGGCTGGAGCGTTGAAAGTCATGACTCAAAGATGGTGTGCAAATAGAGTGTTCAATGTAATGTTTTCGTTTTTAATTGACTAAGAGTGTAAATTTGCTGGTTACAATCTATCGCGCCTGCCTCAGTCTTCTCAGTATCAGTCCCCTCAACATTACAGGTACACTTTGCTGATGATTGTCAGTTAGCAAGAAATCTAGTTCGAGTGGTTCTTTTTTCCAGCCAGTTACTGTCAAAGCATCATACACTGGGATGTCAAGTCATTTAAGGTAGTGAGTAGATTGTAGCTTGTTATGTAATTCAAAAAGTGCTTTGTTCTTATTATCATTTTAAGTCTGTTTATTCATGTTTGACCTACTACTTCCAATGGTGGTCTAACAATGATTGATTGATGGTTTCAATGTGTAAAAACACTAATCTCCATAACTCGAATTGAAAAAAGATTGTACAATGTCCTCTCTAGCGACTAGCTTCATGTGAGAAGGCGTGACCAGTGGAGTTCAACCCTGTCGGGTGTAGGCAGTACCTACCAAAGAAAATGGGTTAAGTCGTATAAAATCCCTGGATTGGTTAGACCTACACATTAACACTATTGCATGCTGGCTCAGTGGTTAGGCGTTCGCCCGTAAGACCGAATGTCCTGGTTTCAAATCTTTCGAGTAGCAGGAATCGTGGATGCTCACTGCCGATGAGTCCAATACCAGGACGAAATGGCCGTTTGATGCTTCCAGGTTTCTGATGGTGGTCTAACAATGATTGACTGATGATTTCAATGTGTTGAACTATTGACTGAAACTATCGTCATTGTTTTTATTACTCCTGTTACTAATAGTACACCTGTCCCCTAACCATGGAGTTGTACTTTCTTACCTGTCATGTCTAGTTAAGTAATCTATTTCATTATGATTATTGGCGAACAAATTGCCTTGATTGGTCTAACATTTTCAT